GCGTCTGTTCCATTCAGTCTATTAACCAAAGGTTCTCTGTGTGGTGGGCTAATACGCATTAACCGTGAGAACAGGAGCGGCTGCTAGCGCGTCTGTTGTTAGCTTGTCGCTGTGCCCGCTGCATCCATTGCACAACACTGGGCATGCTCGTTATTGTCCCCATTTTACAGGTGAGGAAAAAGGCTTAATGATCGGCACACATCCCCTTGGCAAATGTAGTGGGCTTGCTGTGTGCCAGGCACTGTTGGAAGCATCTGTCGTGTGCTGACTGGTTGGTTCCCTCTAAAACTGCTGAAATGCCCTGTAACATCGTCAGGCGCAGTTGCTGCCGGCCCCTGACGGGAGGGTGCGGAGAGGGTGCGCACTGACCTCGGCAGCAGGGCACGCCTGCTGGGACCTGGACCCCAGCGGCCTGGCTCCCAACCGTGCGTTTCTCCGGGACTCTGCCCCCTCCGACGGGGGAGGCTTCTTATAAGGGCACTGACTCTGTCAACAGGACCCCATTCTCATGGCCTGATCTAACCCTAGTCACCTCCCAAAGGCCCCGTCTCCAAACGCCCTTGCTTGGGGGGTAGGGCTGAAACAGCAATTTGGAGGGAAAACAGTTTAGCCCACAGCAGGAGCCGTGCAGGTGAAGGGTTTGACCCAGGGGACGATGAGTCGGGAGTTCAGGCTCTGTCAGCATGTCCTGGGAGAGTTACTGTGTCTTAGGGACACGTGGTGTAATGTCACATACATGCAGTCCTTGTTGGTGACTCTGGGTGGCCTTGGAGTTGAGAGCACTAAGTGTCAGGGCGGGACACGGGACTCTCACTTGGAGAAATTGGCGAGGCCTGGTTGCTGCTCGGGCCGGGTGGAGTTTCCTTCTGGGGAGCTCGTGGCTTCTCTTGCCTGTGAAGCCGGAAGGGGTGGGCTGGGTGGCCCAGGGGGTCCCTGCTGTATCTTGCTGTTTCCCCACAGGCTCTTGGCTGAACCAGGAAAGTGGAGGCTGCCTGGCCCTGCACTTGACCTCTCCCTCTCTCCCGCCAGACAGGCGGGTGGGTGGGCTTCCCCCGGGCTGGGCCCCCTAGTGAGGACACCGAGGGACAGGCCTGCACTTGCAGGCAGCCTGCACGTGGATCAGGTCCCAGGCCCGAGGCACTCAAGAGGGAGGCAGACGTGGCTAAAATCTTTTGGGAGCAGGGGAGTTGTCAGACAATACGGGAGATGGATGGGGAGTCATAGAGGGGACGCCCCCGGACAGGACGGGCTTGTGTTGGGCTCAGGAAGTGTGTGGTTGCGCTTTGAGCCCGTCAGGACATAGAATGATCTGGAAGATGAATTTACGGGAGCGTGAGGTGGAGGCTGGGCTGGAAGGTTGAATGAGTATCCAGTCAGCCCTTTCCGAGCAGAAGGGGCCACGGTGGCTTTTGAAGGAAGGGTCTTCTGGGGGCAGGTTGAGGTTGGGGGTGTGCTGAGAGCTGTCCCCAGAGGCCACCAGGATGTTTTGTGTGATTCTGCGACGTGAGGAAAGCCGCTCAGGATGGAAATGCTGCTTGCTGCTCCAGGCTCCCACCTGCTAACCCACCTGAAGGGCCTGAGCCGCCCGCCCCAGCCTCGGTTTCGCTGTTACGCCGGCGCGAAGATGTCAACTCAAACGCTGTAACTTTGCTTAATGCCTCCAGCCCCCAGAGAGAAAGATGGCTTCTCAAACAGTTAGGTATTTATTCGATCATCTCATTTGTGGCCACCGGCTTCTCTGTGGGTTTGGATCGCTGTTTCTTTCCAGAATGTCAACTGGTTGTAGTAACAAGTGCTTTTCTTTTGTTTCCTTTTTGTTGGTGGGAGGGGGAAAGCAACAACTTATTTTGCCGTCCTTGCTTTGTGGCCGAGGCCGCTCAGCAGAGGTTTGGGGTCGAGGCTGTGATGAAATGGCTGAAGAGCAAGGAAGCCAGTAGTGGTGTGTTCAGAATGCTTTCCTGTGGTCGCTGCTGAGAACCATGTGGTTGCCCGACCAGAGAGGTGCAGCTCAGCTGCGTGCGATCGGAAGAAATTCTGCTGAGTTGCAGAAAAGGACTGGGCAGAGGGGCGGGTAGTAAGCTGGGCTCCGGTCTGAGTTTACACAGTTGGTTAGTCCTTCCTTGCAGGGCAGCGTAGCTTGGAGAAGGTCCAAGTTGTTTCTCCCTTGATTGAAGCTGATGTGTAGTTACGGAAAAAGATAAGACAGTGGCATGTTCTGTACTGGCTGGGAGGGACCTCCGTGTTTTCGTGGTTGGACCATCAGACTGAACGTACCCTCCACTGGTCTGTCTGTGGCCTGTCAGCTCCCTGACGCAGATGCGTGGGGTCTCCTCATCTAATTCCATCCGTGCCTGCGTTCTCAAAAGGCTGCAGGGTAGCCGTATCGTTAAATTAGTCAAGGCGACAGGTTCTTGGGTCTGTGTGTTTGCCTGTAGAGGCTGTATTTTATCTGTTGACATCTTATGCTTTCATGTTGATGATTGATGTTGATTAATCAGTGAACCTGGCCCAATCCGTATCCTTAATGGATCCCCAAGACTAGTGGGACGATTCACCCGTTCATGCCTGCGGTTGTAAACACGCAACATCACTATGTAGGTCTTTAGCTGTCGCTTCACGAACCACCACCAAGTGGGGTGGTAGTTCTGGGACCAGACGTGGCCCGCTGTGTCTTTGGGAGGGTTTGTCGGTGTCCCGTAGGGGGCCTACGGTAATGGCAAACATGGGAGTGCCGCCGTGGGGCTGGGGCCTGGCCTCGGCTCTGCCCAGCGTTGGGGGGCTGCCCTGCGCAAGGCACCCCCTCTTTCTCTGCCTCTGTACGGCAACCTGCGAAATGGGCTTCTTCCCACCACCGGCCCTGAGACGGCTGCGGGGGTGCGGGAATGCCTGAGAACCGCCACCTATGAGGAAGGGTGCTGGGGGCAGTCTGATCTTGAGTTGAATTTTGGGTCTCAGTTGAATTAAAACAAGGCCCTTCCTCTGGCTCTTGCTGCTCTGCCTTCTACCAAGAGACAGACAATTAAAGAGTGAAACTTCATGACTAAACAGGAAGCTGCACCCCAAAAGGCCACAGACATACGGATGGGTTAGATTCTTTGTACAGTGTCTGAGCCAGGTGACGAGGGGTGGAGAGTGGAGACAGAGACAGAGCAGGCTCAGCTTCTTGGAGGACTGGCCTTCGGAGTCCATGAGACTCCCCCCGCCAAAGCACCCATGTACTGGCCAGTGGGTGTGAAAAGCCAGGTCCATGGGTCCCGCCCGGGTTCCAATCGCTGCTCCCCGGGTGTAACCTTGGAGTGTGTCCCTGGCTACTGATCCCTGCTCAGTGCTACTCGAATGGGTGCATGTGGATGAAGTGAAAATGTCCTGGCCATTGCAGCAGTCCCGTGGAGCTGGGTTTTTGTAGGAGTAACACCTGAGCCAGAGGCTCTGGCTTACGTTCCAGTCGGATCGGCCCTGCTGTTGTGCAGAGACCAGGGGTCCCGGCACTGAGGCTGGGCGTCAGCCGAGGGCCCCGTGCAGTGATGTACACAGCGGGGCTGGGGGTTTCCAATTACGGTTGTATTTGGAGGGTAGATCCAGGAGCATTTGTATATGGAGGGGGTGTGGGCTGTGACCAAGATGGGCCTGAATGACCGGAAGTACGGAGTTCCTACGATGGGGGACAGGTACAACAGGGCTATTTTAGGGGGCCTGTGGGGGTGGCAGTGAGCCAGGGGATTGGTTTTGGGCCTATTTGAGATGCCTGGCAGGCCGTTAGATCTCTGAAGTTCAGGTGTGAGCTCTGGTCTGGAAAACATCAGTTGGAGCGCTGTCAGGATATAGGTGGTATTTTAAGGCCTCCTGTTTTCGGGTGTAGAACGAGCTAATGTGTAGCAGAGGTAGGGGAGGGCCGTGAGGGTGCCACAGGCACCTGGAGGGTGCACGGTCCCAGCTGTATTACAGCAGCTACTGAGCAGGGCAGGGAGGCGGTCATTTTGTCCTGGGCCGCAGAGCTGGTGGGGCAACCGCCTGCACCCCCTACCCCACCCTGCCCCGGCCCAGCCAAGCCTGACTGGAACCCAGCGTTTGGGAGCTCAGGCCTGTGACTGCAAAAAAGAGCTGAGTGATGTTCAATGCCTTGCAAGTGCCTGTCCTTGAAAGAGCATCCGGGTTTATCTCCTGAGGCTAATCAGCAGGCACCTAGTAAAAGTCGCTCACTCCCTGGAAGAAATTAATCTCCAACTCTTTCTCAGGCAGGCACCCCAAATGGACCCTGGCCTTGTAATTTGGCCATTTAAAGGGGAGTGAAAGAATAAATGTTTTGAAAGCTGTAGGGGAGCTGACGGTGATTTATTTAACATTAAAGAGAGAAGGGGATGTGATGGAATGGTTTGTAAAGTACACTTGCTCCCGCCGCCTCTGGAAGTGGCTTCGGTGCTCTGAGTCTGCAGGGGCTGTAAAAAATTGTTGGCCTGAGAAACAGGAAGAAAATCTGCATTCTTAGGAATTTGCACGCCCACTATAGCACTACTGAGAATAGAACGGGGGTCAACTTTAGCATCTATGAAAAGCCCAAAAGAGGGTTACCTCTGAGGAGACCCCTCCCGAAGCCCTGACGTCCGCTGCAGCAGAAGCCGGCGCGTTCGGTGGCCGTGGTTTGAAGCTCCGGGACACGGCTGGCCGCAGGCTTGCTCTATCCAGCTTAGACACACACAAAGCCCGCCATGATTGTGCCGGTGCACTTTGATCTCAGAAACACCCCCCCCCCCCCCCGCATTTCTTTGCGCAAAGTACCCCCGTCTCAGTGACTACCACCCTGGTTGGGGGGTCATTCTGGCAGAGGTGTTAGGAGGACACCAAATTTGGGCAGAGGGTGCAGTCTCTCCTGGGTTCCCAGTGGCCCTAAGTTGAAAGATGCTCATTAAATGGATGATGCGTGCAGGAGTCGGAAGCATAATAGAGGTCGAACGTGACGTTTTCTTCTCCTTCTCAAAAACGGTTTTGCACATCTTTTTCAGAGCTGATAGACACACACCTTAGCTGGATACAAAACATATTATGAAACAGAATGACTGTGATCTTTGATCCGAGAAATCAAAGTTAAAGGTAACTCATATCTTCTGCCTCTCCTTTTGTTTTCCAGCTGTGTGTTTTCTTGACTTGAATTTTTTTTTTAAGTAAAAGAAAACTTGACAACCTGAAGTCCATCCTCACAGACACCATTTCCTGCTCTTAAGGACTGGATCCCCCACGTCCTCAGGGGAGCCCCCCGGGGGGATACCCGTGGTGCTCTCTGTGTCTGTGAGGCTGGGGCTCCCGGTTGGGGCGGGGAGGCGGGGGACGAGGCTCCGGGAATTTGCATGCTCTCCCAGGGGCCCCATCACCCCATCCCAGGGAGAGTGCAGCTGTGTCATGCTCCCATCTGAAAGTTCTGCTCCTGTATGTTACCGCCTCTTTCTGGGCTTTGTCCACTTTGCTCGGTGTAGCCAGCGAGGCAGGCTGCCCATCAGGTGCGGCGTTCCACGCTGGGGAAAGAGAGAGGGCAGGTAGATAAGAAAACCCAGGCAGCCACTCTCAAAGCTGAGCCAGCCGTTTCTAGTCTCGATCTCGTCATTTTACCTGGCCGCGCGGTCCGGCACAGAGCCGTGGCTTTCCCACGGAGCTTCGGCACAGCCCCTCAGGGAGTGTCCAGCTGTAGAGCCACCTCCGCAGATGTTGGATTCAGGGCTGCACAGTAGAGCCTGGCAGCTAGCAGACCTGAAAATTCAGGAGGCCTTGTGGGTGTCCAGTCCTCGTGGGACAGTAGGGACGTTGCTTTACCTCTCTGTGCCTCAGCTTCCAGATACTGTTGCTGTTATTTAATCCTCTGCCCATTCTGATCAGACTCAGTTACACACAGTGCCCGGCACATGGTCAGCACTCACCGGAAGTCAGCCAGCATCAGCCACGCCTCCCGACACCTCCCCGGCTCACTGGACTGTGGCTTTCGAATGGTCCCTTTGTCTGTGCAAGTGGGTTCGTTACATCACAGGCCAGACCCAGAAGTCCTCGGCAGGATCACGGTGATGGCCCACTCTGAAAACACAGTAAAAATAGCTCTCAGAGGTCACGCCGTTTAGCACACACCGTGGAGGTGATGCTCCAGAACCTTGTTCCCCAGAGAGTGGGACCGGCTGAAATACCACTTCCCTAAGGCAGCGTGAACCATCCTTGAGAAGGGGGGGTTTCTGCGGCACCTTCTCAACCGTGACCGTCAAACACTGTCAACAGGCAAAGGCAACAGTAACACCAGTGACAACTTGCCAGACCCCCTCCTGAGGGCTTCGCATCCAAGGAGCCAGGGTGACAGAAATGCCCCTGAAATATCAGCGCTGACAGTGCAGCACTGGGAGGGGTGGAACACAGGGATTTTGAAAAGCTCACTTCCTCCCTCCCGGGTGTCAGAAATTGGCAGTGCTTCTGACCTCGCCAGGGCCTGGGAAGGTTAACCAGCTGGTCTGATCCGCGTGCTGGGGGGGAGATTCGCCAGGAACGGCCCCTCCCTGGGGGTGGCCGGCTGGGGGCTCCAGGCTTATCAAGGGCTTTTCCACTGAGCCTCCAAAGCCCGGCCTGGAGAGCTAAGCTCCCAAGTGTCCCCAGAGCATGCAGAGATGGCTGGGAGGGGACAGATCATTTCCCTTCTGAAACTAAAGTCACAGGGCCGTGGCCACCTTTCCTCCTGCTAGTGGGGGTGGGGGGAACGGGCCTGGGGCTTGCTCTTGGCTTCAGAGTAGTTTTCCCCACGAGCAGCTGGAGCAAAAGGCAGAAGCACCCAGGGAACATTTCCTTTTGCTTTCTGGTCCCTAGTGGGTTCTGGGAGGGAATTCAGCAAGGCGCTGCCAGCTGGGGAGGGGGGCGGGCAGGCCTCGCACCTCAGTTGGCTCTCACACTTTCAGATTCAGCCAAGAGCGTGCAGCCTCCTTGCTTCCCACCCAAGCTCGAGTGTCTTTCTGGCTGTGGCTTTTGTGGCTGGCCCCAGGCCCTGGTGGGCACTCACGTGGCCTAAACCAGATTTTTGAAAACATGCTTGAGGTTTGGGAGAGAAGCAGGATGGGGTCTGTCCACTCCCTTCCTGTTGCCTCTTTCTCAGGGGATTGAGTTCCAAAGTCAGCAGTTACAGGGGAGAGGCCTCAAGTCAAAATCACCCTTGAAGAGTCTCTTTAGTTGTACCTAAAAGTGTACGCGTGCGGTTTTCTGCATGCATGCCCGAGCGGCCGTTCCTCTGTGCCCAGCTGAAAGCAGCAGCCAGCACGCAGGTGTCTGGGCCTTCAGGTGAACCGGAAACTTCCTGGGGCAGAGCGGGATGCTCACAGAAATCTGTTCGGGTTTTAGAAACTTTAACAGTCAACCCAGCATTGTCTGTTTGAGGCACAACACTAGGCAGCGGCACTGACTTCCCCAGATGGCCACCCCCAAAAAGTAGGTGACGAAGACACTCTGCTTTTCTCTTTTTCTTTGCCACTGGTGTATGCTAGGGGATCATTAAACTCCAGCTCAGGCCAAATTTGGCCCCCGGCCTGTTTTGGTAAATAAAGTTTTATTGGCGCACAGCCATACCCATCTGCTCACGTATTGTCTATGGCTGCTTTCATGCTCCAACAGCAGAGCTGAGGAGTTTGGGGAAAAACAATATTTTTTTATTTGGCCCTTGACAGAGAAAGTTTGGTGACCCCTTGCATAGTCTCTCGATGCCTATAGCTATTTATTAGAATAGTTATATCTTGCTGATTTGTAACACCTCTTTATATAGGAATGACTTTCTGTCATATGCTGAGAATATTTGGAGGTTCAAAGGGAAAAAGTGTATAATTTTTAGGTACTCCCCTCTGTCCACCTTTTCCCTTCCAGCTTCAGGCTTAGCGGTCACCCTACAGCTAGGACGTGCGCCCACTGGCGTCTTCAGGTGGTGCCTCTCTGAGGCTGTTAGGGGCCGGGGTGCCTATGGCAGACCCAGCACCACTGGCCTCGATTCTGTTCTGAGAAAGTGAAACTCGGTGACCGCCTTAGCCACGTGGCACTTGGCTTTCCCTGCTGTTGACTCACACAAGAGGCACCGAGGGCGCCAGAGCCCTGTAAAAACGGCGACGACTACTGAGCACAGTCTCTGAACTGCCCCCCCCCCCCGCCCCCCTGTACTGTCCATGGTCCCTAAATGGGCCCTGGGCTCCAATCTGGATCCCTCCCCTTCTCCTGCTCTGGCAAGGGACAGCCCGCCTCTGTGTCTCCATCTTTAAAACAGGTGTGATTGTAGCAGCAGGTTTGATGTGAGAGATAACTCAGCACTCAGGACGGTGCCTGGCACACAGCTGGCCCTCAACAAATGTGAATGGCTTATGTGCTTTTGTAGAGAAAAGGCCTCAGGCAAATCACAGACAAGCTATCTAGATGCTAGCAACCCATTTGTCAATTGGATGACAGAGGAAGTTCAGCTTCCCTAAACCAAGTGATCTAGGCTGAGCGTGTGGGGACCTTAAGGTGGGCTAAGAGACCCGCACTGGGCACCGGCTGAGTGCACAGCGAGAAGATGCAGGTGACTCCAATAGCCTGGCAGAGGAGGGCAAGCAAAGCATTCCGAGGATTCAGTACAGTTGACCCTTGAACAACACAGGTTTGAACTGCGTGGATCTACTTACAGGTGGATTTTTTTCCCAGTAAATACTGTAAATGTATTTTTCTCTTCCCTGCAATTTTCTGAATACCATTCTCTTTACTCTAGCTTACTTTATTGTAAGAATAGAGTATATACTACATACAGCTTACAAAATGTGTTAATTGACTATTATTCAGTAAGGCTTCTGGTCAACAGTAGGCTATTAGTAGCTAATTTCGGGGAGAGGCAAAAGTTACGTGTGGATTTGCACCTGCACAGGGGGTCAGCGCTCTTGACCCCGTGCTGTTCAAGGGTCAGCTGTGCCTGCCTCTGGGGGGAGCAAGGGCCTCTGGGAGGAGTGTGGGAGGCCCGGAGGGCCGGGGCAGGGGAGAGGTTAGGGTTTGGACCAGGAGAGGGACTGGTCGCAGGACTGCACACGGCCAACTTGGGAAGCAGTGGGAGGAAAGGCTGGCGTAGGACGGACGCTCAAAACATTTATTGAATGAATGGCATGCTGATGGCAATGACAGCGAAAAGTGGCTCAGCACCTAGATCTCCGAGTCAGACCTGGCAACCAAGCCCGGGGAGCCCTGACGCTGCTTCACCTCGGAGCTTCCCGGTTCTCGTTCATTAATAAATGTTAGCGAGCACTTCTGTGCGCCAAGGCGTTGCTGAAGAGCCAGGGACACTGTGGGGGACAAGAACCTAAACAGAGCCCCAGAGAGTTGCCAGGAACTGAGAAATGGAGAGGACGAGGGAGCAGCGCAATGGCGGGGGGCACTGCAGGTCACCCAGGGCCGCCTCATGAAGAGGCTGCCCGAGCAGAGCCTTGGATAGAGCGAGGGAGGAAGGCTCTAGAGGAGGCGGAGGCACAGCCAGGGCCCAGGCTCAGAGGCGTGAACTGGGAAGGGCCGGACTGACTGACATGGAACACAGGAAGCTGGTGTGGTTGGCCTGTGGGGGTGGGGGAGGGCGGCAGGAGGCGAGGAGGTCGCCGCAAGAGCAGGGAGCAAGAGCAGGGATGGGACCAGATCACAGGGCCTGTGGGGAGGCGTAGGGAGGCGTAGGGAGGCCGGGCTCAGAGCAGGGATTTTACGCCTTTAGTACCTAGAGGAGTTCAAGCGAGATGGGCGATGTTAGGCTCAAGTGACAACAGGGCCAGAGCCGGGATGCTCCTGCTCCCAACGGACCAAAGGCGGGAGAGACAAAGGGAGAGAGAGCAGGTGCACATCACAGAATTGAGGCAAAGGACAGCAGCAACTCCTCCCATCCACGCCATCACCCGAACTGCGGGATGCGGGGGAGGGGACCTCCTGGGCAGGAGGCCACAGTCTGGATGACGTGGCCGCACAGAGACCCCCTCTGAGCGCTCGCTGCCCTGCTTTTCAGAATGACGTGTCTGCATGGTCGTTGCTACCACCCAGCTAGCATTTCTGCTCTAGAACTTTCTCTCCGTTCACAGGCAGGGGAGCCAGCTCTGAGGTTTCAGAAAGAGAAGGTTCCTCCACCCAGTGAGGTTTCAGTGAGGTGTGAGTGGGCCTCGCTGCACAGCCGTGTCCGGCCCCCAAGCCGCGGGAGGGTCTGAGTGAGTGCGCGCTGGGCGCTGAGCTTCCAGGTGCAGCTGTTCGCTTCTGCCCGAAAGCAGCTTTCGGGAAGGGGGAGGGGAGAGCCGCTTCTGTGCCCCAGCGCCCATCCCGGCCCCGGCCCCGGCCACGCCCCTGCGCCCTGACAAGGGAAACGACCCTTTGGGGAGGGCCCCGATGCCAACGTCTCTGCCTACCGGCTATTTTTAGAAAGCCGAGGCTGTGGAAAGTTTCCACTAAGGACTGACTCCTCTCGTTTCCTAGCTTGAGAAAACAGGAAGCCCTTCAGAATCCGGGCTTTGAAAAGCTTTGCTGAAGCTGCGCTGACCCCCCCACCCGACTTGGCATTCTGCTTTCACTGGGCCTCCCAGGCCCCACGGGGCTCATGGGGCGGGGGCAGGGGAGAGGGCAGCCCTTCTTCATTGCTTCCTGGTTTAGGGCCCCTAGGTGTCAGCTGGTACCTGGTACACAGCAAGTGCCCCATTAATGCTGGTTAGCCAAACCTGTGAATTCGTCCTCTTGAGTTCCCATTCACAGATCCCTTTCCACACTTTGGAAACGCTTGTTCTAATAGATACATTTTCATACACTAATATACATGTATCTTATTCGGATATATTGTACATACATATCACATACATGCACACATACTGCTCTACGAACCAACACCTGCCAGGCACTGGGCACTGTGGTAACTGTCACTTGTATTATCTCATCAACGCTCCCCCTCAGCCCTAGAAGGAAGGAAACACTTTTATACACAGTTCACAGATGGGGAAACTGAGGCACAGAGCAGTTCTGCCACTCAGGCAGGGCTCAGCCAGCGGGGGGCGGCAGAGGCGGGATCCTAGCCTCGCCATCAGGCTCCAGGACCTGCCCTCTCGCCTTGCCCGAGCACTCAGCGACCCTCTGAAGAACAGCGAGCCAGGCCTGGCTGGTTTCTGGCACAGAACAAAGCGCAGCGTCCAGCACAAAGCGCCGGGGGGACCACTCCCCACCGTTGCCAGAGGCTCCAGAACCCCATTCAGCGGGCGCGTGCCAGGGGCTTGTATGTCTGTCGATGTCTAGCATCCTCACAACAGCCCGGAAGGGCACGCGCCATTGTGAGGCCACTTGACAGATGAGAACACTGAGGCGCAGAGAGGTACAGTCACACGGCCAGCTCAGTGAGGGAGCCGTGAGTCATGCCTGGCTTGTTCAGCTCTAAACCAGTTTATATTCGCTCTCCTCTTCTTACAGGGCTGGGGGAGGGGAGGTGCAGGCTCATCCAGGCAGGGGTCTCCCTGGGAAAAGCACCCTGCACCCAGGAGGACCCAGCTCAAACAGGGAGAGACTTTGAGCAAATCTCAGGGGCGAATGAACCCTCCCTGTGAATTTTCAATGTCTGACTCGGTCAGGCCAAGACGAGAAGAGAAAATAGGAGGTGGCTGTGGGAAGGATCCAGTGTCAGAACTAGGAGAGGGGAGATACGTGAACGTTTGACGGGACCCCAAAGGAGTCTGCCTCCCCTCCTTTGCCACCTGGGGACTGGGCCACCCCATTCAACTGCCAAACTGAAGGTGTGCACACGCTGAGAGCATGGGCCACGCCTTGTGCCTGGGCTGCCGTGGACAGCAGCTTCTCCCTGCAAGGATAACGGTTCTAGGACCTTACCGCCTTGATTCCACTAGAAACTGTGTCCTAGATAACTGTCCGGAGGGGGAGAGGGCGGGTAGCTAGCTCCTGATGCCAGCGGCCGGGACTGGGCTCTTGGGTCTCTGCTCGGGATACCACACATCCTCTGAGGATGCTGTCTACCTCCGAAGGCTCCAGCGCCGGGGCGGGAGCCTGGATGACAGAGAGAGTGTTCCCGTGGGCGGCTAGGCTTTGTGGCATTCACACCCACTGTCTTTTTAAAGGCCCCTCTTCTGAGAGCTGTCCCCTTTGTGGGTCAAGGAAGTGTGTCACATAGCAGGTATTCTCTGGATGTTGTGAATAGTGGAAGGAGTTTGGTCTATGGTAGAGAGCCTACGGTGCATTAAATAAACAGAGGAGAAAAAGGAGAGAAAGTCCTTGAAAACATGCCACATGGACCAGTCCCATTTCTGCCATGATTTTGTTTTAAGTTACCATTCGGACAGCTTTCACCAGCGCACCCATAGCACAAAATACTGTCCAGAAAACAACAATGCGGGAAGGTGTTTCTTATGTTAAAACCATCAAAGAGATTATTGCAGAGAATGAAAAGGTGTTTTGAGGGAAAGAAGCCCGATTGTTTCAGGTTCTAGAAAGCAAACGTGAGCCGCGTGTTTGGTGCCCCCTCTCACTTGCCCCTACTTTCTCTCTCTCTCTCTCTCTCTCTCTCCCCCCCCCTTTTGTAGTTAACGAAATTATCAGGAAGGAATTTTCAGGACCTCCCACCAGAAATCAGACGTAGAAGAAGCCATCAGCAGGACACCTTCCAAACTTGTCCCCATGGAGCCTCCCGCTGCCCTCACCTGTTGTCCCGACTGCACCTGTCCCGGCCCGGAGTCCGCACGTGGGCCGCGTTCCGGCAGAGCGCGCTGACCCTGCGTTCCGGAGCTCGCCACCTCGCTCTGGAAACACCAGTGAGGACACTCTGCCTTTTGATTTTTGTGTTTGTTTTGTTTTAAATCCCAAAGAGCATCTCCGTTGACTTTAACGGTGTCCCACCCAAACCTTAAGTGCCTGCTGACCAAACCCACATTCTGAGCAAGACAGCGTGCTGGACGGCATCCGAGAGCTGGGTGACTGGAGCTCGGGCCGGGTGGGGGGCAGAAGTCGCAGCCCCAGGTTCATTTTCCCAGCTCCGGCACCTTTTGAAGGAAAGGAGTTCCCAAACCGAGCAAGCAAAGGGACCCAAGAGTCCAGCTTACAGGCTGAAGAAACACAGAGAAGCCCGACCGCCATCTTTAGGGATCACCTGTTCACGCCGCGGTGGGGCCGCGGCTAACGCATGTTTTTTAAATGCGCATTCTGGCCCATACAAGATCACCTGTTCAAACTTCTTGGTGTTAGGACATGTATACGCTTCTTCTTCCTGCTTCAGAGAGCTGGCCAAGGTGGCTGGAGGCGGCGCCTTGTTGGCCAGTGCTCCCCATGCCGCAGCACATGGTCGCGGACTGGAGAAGGGAGCCCAGGCTGCAGGGTGAGCTGCGTCGCTGCAGCTGGCAACCTAATGGCTTTTTTGACGTTCCCGCTTTTGTTCTTCCTAACAGCCAGGTGCTTTTCCATAAAGCAGTTAAGAAGATTCCCGCGCATGTGCTTTGCATTTTCAGAAGGAATGGCAGAGGGCTAACGCAATTCCCCCTTCCTCTCCTGCCCCCGCCCCCGCCCCAAAAGTACAGGTATTTTTGTTGAGTGATTGTGAAGTGAGGCAGTTGGCAGGCCTAAGTGTTTCTGTGAGTAGGCTGCCCTCCCTGGCCTAGAATCAAAGTGGGGCACTCAAGGTCAGGATTCGGCCCGAAAGGTCGTTGGCTATTTTGACCTGAACCCAGTGAGAGTCCCACTCGGCCCCAAAGACCCGCCTGCACTAGCTGCCTGGTCCAGCACAGGCCTCACCTGAGTAGGAGGAGGTCCGCCCCCGGGGACGTCCCCCTTAGACGACAGACCAGTTGTATGGTATTTGTGCCACACACCCCCACCTTGGCTTCTCGCCACTGAGCACATCCAGGGTCCCCCAGAGTCTTTCTCCTTTGGTGCCGTTTTTGTAAACGAAACCCTCAAAGTTCTGTGCAGGTGAGTTTTTAATCACCCAGGTGTGTGCTGTTGGCATGTACTGCAGACAGCCCAGGACAAGCTGGGCATTCACTTCCAGCCGTTCGGCAGCTTCCCCAGCGTGTAAGGACGCCTGGCGCGCTGCCGAAGGCTGCACGGCAGAGAGCCTGCGCAGCAAAGCCCGCAGTCCAGGGCCCCCTGGGGGTTTTCTGAGTGCTGGCTTTCTCATCAAGTTTACCCAGAGGTAGAACCTTCCAAAGAGCCAGGCTGGGAGCACAGGACCTGGTGACTGTGGCCTGGGGTGTTTGGTGCCCCAAAGAGAGGACAGAATGCCCAGGTTGGGGCCTTGGCATACTCCTGTCTGCAACCTTTTGTTCAAGATGGAGCATTTATTTTCCCCCAACAATAGGGGCGCTCTCCTCCACCCGCCCAAGCACAAAGTTGAGCAAAACTTTGAAACAAACAGAATGCCAGTAAGAAGGTTACCGCTGCTGCAAAGCTTCAGGGATGCAAAGTGCTTCCCAATGAAAGAGTCCCTTCCACAAGCAGCTGTCGCGAAAGACCTTCCTTTCTCTCCAGCGACACTGACTGCAACCGGGGGAAGAGTTCAAGTGTTCAGTGAGTGACTCATTCTCACTTGATCTGGCTTGGAGCCTTTTTTTTTTTTTTTTTTTTGCACATGAGGGAATTTGGCCTTTCCTCAGTTATCTGAATGTTTGACCCAAGTGCCTTCCTGCTATTGTAGCAAGTTGCTCAGCTTCACTGAGCGTGGGGTGAGAAAGGACGGATGCATTTTCCACCATCGTCTAATCAGGGCGGCGACAAGGACCTCCTGTTAGCTCAGACTCCTGTCCGTATGGATGTACGCGCACGCGTGCGTAGTTCACACCCAGATTCTCGTTTTCGAAGGCATCTTAGCTGGCTACTGTAGGAATAAACAACAACGCCAAACAGCAAAGGAAAGAGAAACAAAAGCAGTTGTTTCAAGACTCAAACGGGCAGGAGAACATGTTAGGAGGAACCGACAGCTATCGAGAAAGTGTTGTCAGTTACAAAGGCCAGGGGGAAATTTCGCCAAGAGCAAATGCTTATGAACCGTTTTCAGGATGGGAAGAGGCCGCCAAATCCTCTTAAGAGAAGGAGAAAGCAAGATGTCTAAGTGGTGAAGGTGTGTGTGTTGCACATGTGTTAGAGGGATCTCGGTTAGGTGGAGGTTTGCACTTGCTGCATTCGAAGTAAACTAAATATGTAGCACTTCCAACAGAAACCTACCGTGTTGCTGAATGTAGTGTGTCTCCAAAGTTTGCCAGTCTTCCTGCATTGTACAGAAATGCTGCTGCTTGATAATATATAACAGCAACCCAAATTAATTAGTATGTTATTAAATTTTATTTTCTTATCTGTATTTTTATGCTTTTTGATCTGTCCTCCAAATATCGCGCCCTTGTTGGAATTAGAGAAGTATTTATAAATGGTCAGAAGTCTTTTTCAAGTGTCTCTTTTTACATATATGTTGATTTTTTTTTTCTTCCCTAAGAGAAATGATGTATTCTTGAAAATGTGTTAATCATTCCAGACAACAAAGCCCCAGTTCAGAGCCTGTTCGGCAGGCACCTGTCTCCTAGACTGTGTCCTCTCCAGGGCAACGGGGGAGTGGGGGGGCGTGTCCTGCCTGAGCCTGACACTGCCTGACTTCATCTCTGAGCCCCAGTCTCGTCACTGAGGAGAATTGTACTGAAGTGTTTCGATCCCCCAGTAAGTAGAGGATATTTAAAAAAACACAACTGCCCGTGTTGTGATGGGATTCTGGAAGACCCATGTGCAGGCTAATGTTTACAGAGCTGGCCGAATCCCAGCGGTTCACCTCTGCACACGCTCCCTGAAGGACAGCCGAAGTGTCCCATCGCAGACACAGCCTCAGATGGAAGGAGCCAATTCCTTCTAAGAACTGGGAGGCACTGGGGGAGGCTTTCCTGTTTACATCCAGGAGCCGAGCCGCCGTCTCGGGAAGCCCGCCTTGGCCAGTGTGGCCGATGTCACCCTGAGACAGAGCGGAAGCTGATGTGGTCGAATTGTCACTCTGGATGAAAGGGAGGCAGAATTTGTTTATTTTCCTGTCAACAGACACTTCCCAAGTGCTTTCTGTTTTGCAAAATTGAAAGAATGTCCGGGGTCCGGCTAACAACTTGGTTCACTCTGCATTTACGAGAAGCATGGGGTTGTGGTATTCTTGGCATGTGGCGGGGGCGGGGGGGGGCGGTAAACTTCGCTGAACTTATTTTTGTTGGAGGGCCAGCCCTTGAGGAGGTACCCAATACATCTTCACCCCGGGTCTTCCAAGCCTGGGCCCGGGGCTTTTCGGAGTCTGACAGAGTCAAACCAGCCAGTGCAAGTGTTCTCCTGCACCCTAGCCTCACGCTTCAGAAAACGGGACAGGCGAGCATCAATTTCCCTCCGCTTTTGCAAGTGCCTTGAGTTAGAACCGACATCCTTGTCTTAACTCGGTTCGTTCAAAAACACCCTTTTCTGGTGCTTGGTGAGCTGGAGTGCTCCCTAAGCAAGCCCCTCTAAGCCTGAGGCAGGGTGTTGGGTGCTAGAAGCAAGGCTGAACACTCAGCCACAATGTAGCTGCTGCCCAACCAGCGTAAACTCCACCTGCCTCGTTCAGGGATCAGAAGAACTGGATGCCAATGATGCTGCTTCCACGGGAGAAGGTGCTTTCAGCACTCTGATTGGCTGTGGTTGGGATGAACGTAGCATCCTGAATGTATTGTCAGAGACCCTCACTCACCCTGGCTGCCTCTGCTGCCCTCGGAGGGAGGAGGGGGAAATGTTGAGAATGTCCGAGCGAGTTCCACTGCAAATCGAAGTCTCTCCAACCGGTGGTGCTGGGAGCCTTAGGTTTTGAAAGTCTTGACTTTTAAAGGTGTCTGAATACATCACATTCCTATGCAAAATGTTTCTAATCTCCAGTGTAAGGTAGTTTATTTTTGCTATATGTAAAGTATTTTTATACGGCTTGTATCATGATAGTTTAGCAATAAAACAGTTGAAAGCATGGGCAACTGTGTTGTGTCTTGTCTTCTCTAGAGGGGCTGGCTGCTCAAATATCCCTTTTCCGTGGTGAGTCCATACAGCAGGGAACCTCCCTGGGCAAACCGTGCCTGTGTTTGCCCCTCGTCTCAGTCCCATGAGGTGGGAACTGTTCACTTCACATCCACACTAGGGCGCAGAAGCCACTGGTCCAACATGACGGAGCCCCGGGGTCAACCTGCGTTTGTCCGAGTCTCTCCCTGCGCTGTCCCCTGCAGCAATCTGCCCCTCTAGATCTCTTTAGAAGGAGCACCCAGGCAAGACATGTATAACATCAACCTTGGTGGCACCTCATAGAGGGTCCCCGGACAATTTCAGCGGCCTGGACTGGGCTGGCCACTCGGAAGGCAAAAGCAGACCTTAAACATCTTACAAAATTCCAAAGTTTAAAAAAAAAAAAAAAGGTACCTTTTTACCATCAATCCACAAACAATTAGATACTGTAAATACTAGGACTTTCCAGCTGGCTAACTCCTAAACAAAAGCTTCCCCCACCCCCCTGATAGCTAAGGCACCTAAGAGGTTGGGACGTCATCGCTGTTTAAGTCTTAATGTAACATTGTCCACTCTTCATCCCACTCCTCAGTGCTACCCTTAAACCCTAGGCAGGCAGGGTGCCACCCCAGGCCCCGTGCCTCAGCGAGCACTCCGCCTCGCTTGCCCCCTTTCCGGGACTGGCCAGTGCTACCATATGAGTCACGTGGGTGGGACATAGGTGCTGGCTGCTGGAAACGCCCACCTTGAAACGGTCCCCTCTGGTGGCTGGGACCAGCTGGCTCCCACTTCTTCCCTTCAGGGCACAAGGTCAACCAGCTGCCCCAAAGAGCGGTGGCACTGACGCCCAAAGGGTCCTGGCCGGCTTCCCGAAGAGCTTCCTCGTGGCCAGCCCTTAAGTACTTTTTTACTTATTTTTGCATGGGGTCGCCTGAGATGGGGCCATCAGAACAGTGCTGAGATGCCCATCTGGAGATGCCTCAACTCGCTTGTGTAATTGGGAGCCCCTCACAAAACAGTCGCCTAGATCCACACAGCCTGGGGGGCAGCGCAGCCCCCTTACGATTTTTGCTGCAGCGGTGTACAACGGATTTTCTTAACTCATTTTCTGAAAACCTTACGCCACTTTTCCTGAACAGAAACCCAGGACCATCTTACACAGGCAACAAGGATTAAA